GTGGATATCTTTCCCACCCCCTCATTATTTAATAGTGGTCTCTGATCTAACCATTGAATAAAGATTTTTTTGGGGGGGGCTTGCCTCCCAAAAGCGTTTCTTGAAGCCCGGTGGTACTTACTCAGGACCAATGCTCCCTCTAAGCTGTGCAGTCTTGTGACCAAAAATTCTACTTTGTGAGCGACTGGCACGAAAGTTGTGAGCTATAACCTATTCCATTGTGGATGAGAGTCTGTGTGAGTTTAGCGCATCCTATTGTGGTGTGGTATCGCCCCAGGGTGTATTTCTAGAGCACTTCAGATCTTTCTCCTAAGGATCTGCTCAAACGTGATGCCTCAGCTCTTTGCTTTCGTTCTAGCTGAAGCAATGCAAGGTGAAGACTAACAGCTTTGCATCAGGCACGAGTTGGCATCTTTTTCCGGCTCTGCCACTTGATGCTGTTAGTTAGGCCTGGGAGCCTTGGTTTGCTCCTTTTGCTGAGCTGAGCTGCCTTCAAGTGGATGCACTTGTTATCTAGGGTTGCTGGCTCTGGGTTGGGAAGATACCTGGAGATTTGGGGGGGGGGGTTGGAGCCTGACAGCAGGGTTGTTGGAGGGAGCGACTCGGCAGGGTTGTTGGAGTGAGTGACTCGGCATGCCTGGACATTGGGAGGGCGCTACATCACTCTAAGGGTGTATAGGGGTTCATCTCCTTGAATGGGATGCCTCTCTTTGTCTTAACCTGGGAGCTGCTCTCTGACCTCCTCCGCACTTTGTCCTCTCCCTTTTCTCACATGGCCTTCCATGGAGAGACGTGTCTCTGCAGGTGGAGACAATGCCCTCATACTCCCGCACACATGATGCCGGACAAGCTGGCCATTTGTGACTCTTTAGGCTGGGCTTCTTTCTCTTCCTTTGGCTGCAACCTGAATGTCAACTGGATCTCCTTGAATACATTCAGGTGGGAATAGCCGTGTTGGTCTGAAGCCATAGAACAAAGTTTGAGTCCAGTGCTCTGGAGGGGGGGGGGACTCTGTGGCATTGTACCCCACATCCTCCCCAGGCTCTACCCCCGAATCTCCAGGAGTTTCTCACCCTGGAGCTGGCAACCTTACCTCTCCCCTCCCTGCCCGTGGCCAGGGGGGGGGACCTGGCCGCCCTACCCCCTCCCTAAGCCATCCTCCCACACCTCCCAAGTGTGGCTCTGGATACATACACCCACCTGGCACCCTGTGGTAGAGGAAAGTGGGCTGAGACGAGGACGCAGCAGTAGAGACCTGGTAGACAGAAGGGTTAAGTACCTGTCCCAACCACTGCTTTCCAGCTCCATGTTCCCAGGCTTCTTTCATTAGATATTGATACCCTGCTCTTCTCCCTGATGGGGACCCAAAGCGGCTCACGATGCCATTCTCTCTTCTTCCATTTGATTGTCGTAAAAACGACCCTGTGAGGTAGGTTAGGCTGACCTAGGGCGACCGTCCCGAGGTCACCCAAGGCCCTTCCAAAGCAGAGGGGATCTGAACCCAATATCCTCATCTGATACTCTAACCACTGCACTGCGCTGCCCTACCCGAAACAGTGAGCAGGGTTCTGTAACATGACATTTTACACTCAGCGTTTGATAAGTGTGTGTCACGGGTCCCCAACATGGTGCCCGTGGGCGGCATGTCCCCCGCCGACACCTTTCGTGGCGCCTGCCAAGTGATTTTAGAAGGGGGGGGCAGGCAGGGCTTCTCCCCAGCAGGGCTTTTAATTGGTCGTTGGATATGTCACCGGCTGTACAGATTAAAATAGCACTGTTCCAGCAGCAGCTGCTGCTGCAGTTCTAGTTTAATTCTCATTCATGCTCCTTCCCCCCCTCCAGTGTATTTTTTAAAAATTACTCCTCTTATCTCCTGTACTGGGGCTTCCTCGGCATGTGTGTGGCTCTGCTTCTGCAGTGGCCATTCTATGGTGTCTGAATTTCAAAGGGGCCCAGAGGCTCAAAAAGGTTGGGGACCCCCAGTTTGGTGTAGTGGTTTGGAGCGTGGACTCTAATCTGGGAGAACTGGGTTTCATTCCCTACTTCTCCACATGCAGTTGCTGGTGTGACCTTGGGTCAGTCACAAGTTCTCTCAGAGCTGCTCTCTCACGAGCAGTCCTCGAAAGAGCTCTCTCAGCCCCACCGACCTCACCGGGTGTCTGTTGTGGGGAGGGGAGGGGAAGGGAAAGGAGATCGTAAGGTGCTCTGAGACTCCTTTGGGTAGTGAAGGGCGGGGTATAAATCCAATCTCTTCTTCTAAGTTGTACAGACATCCCTGTAGTCCAGAGCACATTTTATTACTCTGTGGAGGTGGCGCCTGTCTCGGATAGTGGGGGACAAAGAAAACGATACGACCATCACGTCTTTGGCCTGCTTGGGGCTTTCCCAGATGCTGCTGGCTGACCCTCCTGGAAAAAGGACGCTGGCCCCACTGGACCTTGGTCTGATCCTGCCAGGCGACCCTTATGCCCATGGGGTCCTTCTGGCCAAGGACCCAGAACAACCCGGCTTGCTGCTCATTTTGATTTCCTCCTCCCAGGCAGTGGGCCGTGACTAGTCGCTCCATTGTACCGTGGTTGATATGATATCTCTGAGCATTCCTGGCCTAACAATAGCAGACTCGGAGCCTTTTTCCTTCCCAGCCGGCTACATTTTCTCACATAGCGTTCAGGAATGTGGTGAATCCCCTGCGGCACGGATCGCATGCCTGAATGGACGCAGCTGCCACCGGAGGAGGTAAGCAGGCCAGGCGGCCCTGGCTCGGTCCCTTTCAAATGTGTCACTCCAGTCAAGGAAGGTCCCTCCACCCCAGTGCCCAACCCCCCCAATGTCAGAAGCATGACATGTTCTGCGAAAGCCTTGCCAACCTACAGCTGCAGCCTGGAGATGTCCTAGAATTACAAATCATCTCCAGATGACACAGATCAGTTCCCTGGGAAGGTAATGGCTCCTTTGGAGGGTAGCGTCTGTGGCGATATACCCTGCTGAGGCCCCTCCCCTCCCCTCCCCTCCCCAAACCCCATCCACCCCAGGCCCCGTGTGTTAAGTCCCTCACTTAACAAAGAAGTCCGAGAGCGATTCAGCAAGAACACAACTTTATTCTTCAACTCGAACACAACTCCAACACAGATCAACTTCTGATAGCCAGAACAGAACCGTTCAGCTTTTACATTGCAGTTGTCCTGCTTTTAAACTCTCCCAGCTAATGTAGCCACACCCACTGTACAAATACCAACCAATACGGTTGTTCATATAAGGACCAATCACAGACGTTCCCGCTCAGGGAGCTTGCTGTAAAGTGATTGGCTAGGTGCTTCCTGGGCTAGCAATGCGATTGGATGGATATGGATCCTAGCCCAGGACGAAGCTCAACATGGCAAGTCAATTAGATGCATGGCATGTTCTGTGACAGGGTTGCCAACCTCCAGCTGCAGCCTGGAGAGCTCCTGGAATTACAAGTGCTTCTGACATTGTGGGGATTTGGCACTGGGTGGAGGGACCTTCCTTTATCGGAATAACATGTCAGAAGAGCATGTCATGTAGAGCATGCAAGCTGTCTGGGAGAAGGCAGGAGAGCTTGCTAACATCTGGTCTTCTGTGTTCAAGGGATGGGGGAAGGCGTATCGAGAGAGCCATCTGATCTGATGTGGGGCAGCTTCCCTGGACCTATGCGGCCCCCTCTGCTGTTTGTAAGCACCGGGCCTTCCTTGCAGGATTGTTGTGAGGTTGCAATGTTGCTTGGGCAAACCCGGGGGAAGGGTAGGAAGCATATAATAAATCACACACACACTAAAGCTGTTGCTATCACCAGGCCCGTGTAGGCCAAAGGGAGGAAACTGGGTACACTTTACTGGGGCCCAGGATCTAGGTGGGATTAGCCAGGGTTGCAAGGCCGTTTTATGACACACACACACACACATATACACACACATACACACACACACACACACATTCCCAGGAATAAAGTAGACTTTGGCTGTGGTCACACACACACACACACGAAATAACCTACTTTCAATGTACTTTCAAACTGGATTTATACTGTGTGCAGGCAAAATCCAGTTGGAAAGTGCATTGAAAGTGGATTATTTTGTATATGTACCCACAGCCTTTCTTTTCTTTCAGGGCTGTATGCATGGGAGGCTATGTGTATGGGTTTGTGTGTGTGACAGGTTTACTGCAGGTCCGCAAAGAATATGCTGGAGTTCTTGTGGGCAGTGTTCCCTCTAAGCCGAGTTAGTGTGAGCTAGCTCAATTTTTTAGCCTCCAGCTCACACATTTTTCTCTTCGCTCAGGAAGGATGGCCCCAGAGCAAACTAATGTATGCAGCAGCCAAATCGCTGGCTCACAACTTTAATGCTGGTAGCTCACAAAGTAGAATTTTTGCTCTCAGGACTCCACAGCTTAGAGGGAGCCTTGCTTGCGGGATCCAAAACCGACACTTCTTCAGGAAACCATCCCATTTGCGGACAGTTTATCATTGCCTTTCTATATGGCCGTTTCTCCAGGGTTAAAGTAGCATGCGTGGATTCCCCCATCCCGCCCCTTATTATATAATTCACAACAACCCTGTGGAGTAGGCTAGGCTCATTCGCCTAAGGTCAGCCAACACTCTTCATAAATGGAACATGGAAACATGGATTCGAACCCAGGTCGGGCAAACCCTTTACTGGGGCTCCCGGCACACCTAGGAACGTCACTCCTGCTTATTCGGAACGAACGAATGAATGGATGGATGTCGTTTGTCACTGGCAAACAATAACGCGAATGAGGGGCGAGGCAGAGCTGCACCCAGTCTTTGGGCCCTCGCCCAGCCCAGCTCAGCCCACGCCTGCAAAAGCAAACAGATCTCGCAGCCAGCCCCGACAGACGCAGTAAATCCCCGGGAAGGCCATTCCTGCCCCCGCCACGCCCGGCTCCGGCAACAGAAGAGTTAACTGCCTTTCTCGCTCGGCCGGGAATTTCCTTCCCCCCTCCGAGTGACGTCAGCCACCGGGGCCACGCCCATTTCGAACGCTCGCACAAGATGGTGGCCGCCCCGCAGTGACAGGTAGGAAGTTTCCCTTCTTCCTTTTCGCGCCGCTTGGCGTGCCATTGGTGCTTCCCAGCCCCACCCCTCGGGGCTGGGGGGCTGGATGCAGGGGGGCAGGGACGTGCCTCCCCCCCTCGATTGCAAAAAATCCCCCCAGTCCCCTCCCCGATTAGGCAAGCCCCGTGGCTGCCGTCTCCTCCTCCTTCCTAATGCTTTGGTAACCCCCCCCCCCACCACACCACTGGGGGCCCTAAAAAGGTGGATCCTGGAAACAGGCCTGACACCCTGCCCCCCAAGTGGGGGGCAGAGAAACACTTTTGGGGGGGGGGGGGGGGGAGCCACGAAATGCACGGGCCCTCGCCCCGTTAGATGGTCGGCGTTTCTTGGGCTCCAGCAGGTGAATCCGGGACTGACACCTCCTGTCACCTTTGCAGGGACGGTTGTTATGGGGAGGGCGGCGGGCATAGCGGTGAGAGCCCCACCGACACATTCCTCTAGGGGCCCTTTTGCCCTGGGAATGCTGTCTGACTGGCCCGGCATTGGCCCGGGGCTGTGGCTTCGGTTGCCGGACAGTCGAGGCACCGACTTCTTTCCCCCCTAGGCACACGCACCTACGGCTTGGCTTCCTTGGCCCAGCACTGGCATGAATGCTGGCCTCGGGGGAAGTGGAGGTCACAGTTGGGGGCTGGAGGGGAGGGGCGCCTGGGGAAGCAGCTCCCCCCCCCCCCCCATTTCTTCAGCTGCATATCTGGCTGCCGATGCAAAGGGAAACTGAGAATATCTGTGAAGGGCCTCTGTGTGTCTTCCGCTCCCTGGTTCTGACAGAACGGGGGATGCTGGCCACAGGCTGGGCCAACCAGGTTTTGTCTCTCCCCCCCCCCCTGTCAGATTCGCTGCAGCCAAATTAACGGGGGTCTCCTGGCATCTTTTAAAAATTTCTGTCTCCTTTTGCTGTCAAGTCACAGCCGAAATCTGCCAACCCCGCTAGGGTTTTCAAGGCAAGAGCCATACAGAGGTGGTTTTTGTAAGTACCACCGGGATTCAGAGGTGGTGTGCCCTTGCCTGCCTCTGGACATCCTTGGCGGTCTCCCATCCAAATACTGACCAGGGCTGACCCTGCTTGGTAGCCAAGCTCGAACAAAAGATCCGGCTACCCTGGGCTATCCAGGTCTTGCACCTTAGATGCTAGCATGTGCTTTTTTGCATCGTGGCATCTGACAGGGTGTTTTCATTGCTTCCTCCGAAGAACCCAGGCCCGCATGCATGCCTCTCCCTTTCTGTGTTTTGTCCTCACAACAGCCTTCCAGGGTAGGTTTGGCTGAAGGACCGGGTGATTGGTGCAGGGTCACTCAGTGAGCCTTGTGGCCAAGTGGGAATTCGAACCCACGTCTTATGGGTTCAGGTTGGACACTAACCACTGCAGGGTGCCCGTTTCCCAAGTGCCACTCTCCCTCCTGCTGATCAACATAAGGCACAGGCCAATGGGAAGTTCTCCCGGGAGAGCACTTGTGTGCGGTTGCATTGCCCCCGTTCATTCCATTGGACATTATGCGTTATGCTTGCTCCCTGCACTGTGTCCCATGAGTCAGAGCCATTCACCCACCCACCCTCTGCAATAACTAGCAAATATACATTTTATTTTTATTTATTTATTTACTTCAGTCACTTATACCCAGTCTTTCTCACAGCAGTTTACATCGTTCTCCTCTCCTCCATGTTATCTTCACAACAACCCGGTGAGGTAGGCTATGCAGAATTTTGGACACTGAATCCCAAAATCTCTAGAGTGCGGCCAATAAAACTTGCTCTCCCTCGAGCTCGGAGATCCCACTAAAAGAAGGCCCTACGGCTCCATCTCTCCACGCCCTTCAAATTCCACAACAGCATAGAACTTTTTCATTGGCCAGATTTAATGCTATGCCATCTGCAGTCCTGCATGGAAGATTTCAAAAGGTGCCACATTCAGCTCGATATTGTCCCTGTGTCAAGTTGCATTGAGACAATTTCACATATCCTTTTTTTATTGTCCTTTCTGTGTAGAAATTTGTACTAAATATCTAAAGTCTATGTTGGCAAGTAAGACGGGATTCTCGGATCACGTTAAGGTACATTTGATCCAGAATTACTCCTCTCCTGATATAACTGAGAAACAATGCTCCCTCCAAGCTGTGGAGTCTTGTGAGCCAAAATTCTGCAGAATTTTGGACACTGAATCCCAAAATCTCTAGAGTGCGGCCAATAAAACTTGCTCTCCCTCGAGCTCGGAGATCCCACTAAAAGAAGGCCCTACGGCTCCATCTCTCCACGCCCTTCAAATTCCACAACAGCATAGAACTTTTTCATTGGCCAGATTTAATGCTATGCCATCTGCAGTCCTGCATGGAAGATTTCAAAAGGTGCCACATTCAGCTCGATATTGTCCCTGTGTCAAGTTGCATTGAGACAATTTCACATATCCTTTTTTTATTGTCCTTTCTGTGTAGAAATTTGTACTAAATATCTAAAGTCTATGTTGGCAAGTAAGACGGGATTCTCGGATCACGTTAAGGTACATTTGATCCAGAATTACTCCTCTCCTGATATAACTGAGAAATAATGCTCCCTCCAAGCTGTGGAGTCTTGTGAGCCAAAATTCTGCTTTGTGAGCTACTGGCATTAAACTTGTGAGCGGTCGATCTGGCTACGGCATAAATTAGTTCGCTCTGGGGCCATCTTTCCTGAGCGGGGACAAAAATGTGTGAACCGGAGGCTAAAAAACTGTGAGCTAGCTCGCACTAACTCAGCTTAGAGGGAACACGGCTGAGAAAGTGGCTATATTTTTGCAATGTGCTATGAAGTTGCGCTGTGATGAGATATAAAGAGTCAATTGATGGTATATTTACCCAATTGTAATTTTAAAGCAATCTTTAGTCTGTGTTCCATCTTATCTGTTTTATGTGCCAATAAAGGACTGGTTGATTGATTGTTACGCTGAGAGACTGAGTGACTGGAGGAGGGTCACCCAGTCAGCTTCCATGGCATGAGTCGGGACTGGCAGTCGGGTATCCCAGATGTGGCGCCACTGCTATGCCACACTGTATTTTTAGACTCGGCAAAGGATCCCTGTAATCAACAGCATCTTCCATCGCGGAGACGGCGGCCGTGCCCTCGTTTCCTGCATTTCCCCATGGTTGTCATTCCCAATAGCAGACCTGTTTTAGTGTTTCTGTTTCTGCGCTTGGGATGCAGCCGTGATCCCTGTGATTAATTGGAGCTTGAGTGACGGAAGCGCTAATTTGTGTCTTTCGATAGAGAACGGCTCCTTGAAAACGTGCCTCCCCCGTTGGTCTATTAAGGGAGCGCCTTGACAGTGAAACCCCTTTCGTGATCAAAGCAGCTGCTGACGCAAAGGCTTTAAGGTGCCCCAAAACTCCAGAGATGGGAAGAACTGGCTCTGATAACCGCATGGCCACAGAATAGGGTTGAGGGCCTTTAGACCAGCGCGCGTGTACGTTGGGGGGGGTGGGGTGGACAGCGATGCTAGATTTAAGTGGCCAGCCCAGAAGGTTCCCAAAGTGCTGCCCCCAACACTGCAATGAGGGCCACTGTGAATTAAGGGTAAGTGTGGAGCAGGGGTGTCAAACATGTGGCCCGGGGGCCAGATGAGGCCCCCGGAGGGCTTCTATCAGGCCCGCAGTGGAGCTGGCTGTCTTCTGCTGCTTCTTCCAGTTCTGCTGCTGCTGCATCATCGTAGGTTTGCAGCTTACAGATACACACCTGAGCAGCCTACTCAAGATTGCAACAGCACAGACATTTTGATGCAGTAATTCAGAGCAAGAAGTGTCAGTTATCAGACACTGTTAAATAAACAAACTATTGCAAGAATGCTAATATTATAAGCATGCTTTTATTTTAAGTAAAACAAACAAACAAACTTGTGTTTGTGTCCTTTATGGAGCTTATATCTCCGCTACCTGGCATTACCTTTTATGACACACATGGCCCGGCCCAGCAAGGTCTCATTTATGTCAGATCCGGCCCTTATAACAAATGAGTTCGAAACCCCTGGTGTGGAGGGTTAAGAATACAGCTTCTAGAATGTCAGTGGCCTTTGAAGACCACGTTGGGGACCCCTGAAATCAGGTATTTTTGTATGGCATCACTGGCTTGAGGCAAGCTTAGTTCTGTTCAAAACGGGGGGGGGGGATAAGCTCTGGGCGTCTTGGTGGTCTCCTATCTAACTACAGGGGGTATGATAGAGGTTTAGAAAATTATGCATGGGGCGGAGAGAGCTGACAGAGAGAAACGTTTCTCCCTCCCCCAAATTCTAGAACTCAAGGGCGTCCAGCAACCTGATGGCCAGTAGGTAGGGGATGGACAAAAGAAAATACTGCTTTACACAGAGAGTGATTAAAATGTGGAATTCACTGCCAGAGGATGTAGTGATGGCCACAGGAATAAATAGCTTTAAAATGGAGATTAGATAGATTCATGGAAGATGAGTCTATCTAATCTCCATTTTAAAGCTATTTATTCCTGTGGCCATCACTACATCCTCTGGCAGTGAATTCCACATTTTAATCACTCTCTGTGTAAAGCAGTATTTTCTTTTGTCCATCTCCTACCTACTGCCCATCAGCTTTGCT